AACCTGGAATGTTGGTTCAAGGGATGAAGCGGTGCATATCTGCTTGGAGAGACAGACTGATGCAGCAAGTAATAGTGGTCAGGACAGAGACAAGATCAGAGCTGTTCTGTGAATGCAAAACATAGTTCAAAGGCACAGTGAAAGACCTTGTTCAACAAATGTTGTTCCCAGGTCAGGTATTCACAGATATCCCACATAGCAGAAAGGCTGCAGCAATGTACAGGTCATACAAGTACAACAATGCTTCTTACCCGGATTCTGATCCAGCCAACTGTTTTGGTTTTAGTAAAGGCTGAACCCATCCCAATATTTAGTGAACAGTGTAGGACTCCCCATGCATCTCACCAAAAGGATAGGTCAGAAGTGGCATATTTAAGCACTTGGTTCATACTCTGAAAAAGAAAACTATAGGGAATAGACATCAGTTCTTCCATCTTCCCGCACCAAAATGAGGTTCTCACCATTGACAGCAAGCACCCTGGGTCTCCTCACCTGACTCTGGTCATTCAGCACCACCTTCCCAGTCTCATCATCTGGTGAGAACTGTATCACCTTGAACTGATCGATCACAAAAACATTCCTGGTCTCATCAACACAGACACTGAATGGCCTCATCATCACTGAGGTTGAAGGCTTCAGTATACTGAGAATCAGCCCAGATTTCTTCATGATGACAATCTGCTTCTTGATGAAGTCTGAAACAATAAACTCTTCCCAGCTATTAACTGCAATGAACAAAAATTTCCCTCCTTGGTAATTATCTGGCTGGACTCTGCCAACACAAAAGGCTGAAGGGCTATACAAAGAGATGGAACAGAGAGTCCCCTCACTAACAGCCACGTATGAGCTCTGGTATGAGGCCAGAGCGTAGGAGGACTCCGATCCCCTCATCTGCAATTTACGGAGAAATACACCTTCGAGAGTCAAGAAAAAAAGGTGAGTGTCTGATGAACAGGCCAGGGTCGTTCCACACACAGAGATTCCACAAAAAACAGAGTCAGAAAGGTGACCAGGCAAATGAATCACTTGCTGGAATTGACCAGTAGGGCTATATTGCTTTATCTCATCATTTGCCTGATCCAAAAGAAGAATTTGGCCAGTGTGGGGCACAATAGCAATCCCAGTGATATTGGGTTTTTCCAGGGCAGAAAAGGATGGATCCGGTTCAAAGCTATAAGTATATTCTGCTCTTACCCGGAAACTACTGTAAGAGGAGGAGCTTTTAGTGGGGGAGTCAGACACACTCATGCAGGAGTTGTCATCAGAGTCAGAAAGAGAGTCTGTGACCTCATCGCTCTCATCAAGAGAAGTGAATGACTCACTGCCTAGCTCCAAACGTTGTACATCTCTTCCTGGTTGCTCCTGAGGAAACACAAAACTGAAAAGTGGTGCTTCAGAGAGCTGCTCTGGATCGTCCCAAGCAATAGCCAGCTCTGGGGTCTGGTTTGGGAGTTGCTGCAACCTATGTGCTTGAAGCTCTTGAACCCTGTTCCTGATCATTCT